GTGTGTGTAGGGGGTTGTGAGTGCTTGTGTGTGTGTCTGTGTCTGGAACAGCCTTGGGGAGGGGTGAGAAAGGCAAGGGAACTAGCTGGGCTTTGAGATGTATAAGAAGCTTACGTGAGTAGAGGTTGAAGGCCACCATGGGCTTCCATATGCAACCACACGGACATGTCAATGGAGAGCCATACGTCCCCCTCCCAGAGGCAAGGGAGATTCCCCCCTGCCAGAGGCAAGGGAGATGACTCCTTTTGGCAGATGGGAACCAGTTTCTCAAGTCCCTGAGGAATGCTGGCTTTTATCCAACCACCAGAAATTCTTCTATAGTTCGGGGGAGGGGGAGGGGCTGAGCCTAGACTTGATTGACTTGATTTTGGACCAAATCAGTAGACTGGCCCTTTTGGGGAAAAACAGAGCAGTACCCATTGGACCTGACACTAAACTCTGATACAGTCTTAAAGGTCTTCGATGGGGTTTAAGAGGACGCCAAGTTGTATTGATGATGAGTGATTTTTAGAGGATTATTATTGCCACGGAAGACAGACAGGTAGTAAAAACATGGCCGTTGTCTGAGATCGGGCCCCAGCAGGAGACAGACGGCATGGCAGGGTCTCTGAAGAAGAATCAGAGCCCCTGTGGCAGAAGAAGGGGCCTTTTCTTACACTGTTCTGAGGATGGAGGAGGTTTCACACACAAGCCAGTAGCCGGGCTCTCTTAGTCATAGGCAGGAGGCAAAGCAGGATGTGTGTCCATTTTTGATGTGAACTCACTGACCCAGATGAGAAATCCAGACATCTGAAACTATGTTAGCTAGGGACTCACAGACGCAAGCGTCTCTGTAGGAAGCCTGGAGCTATCTGTGAAAGATGCATCTGAAAAGTATTGTGGCCTGAGCAGCAACAGCTGGATTTTAACATCAGGCCCTTACATAGCCCATCAATGATCTGAGTGCAGGTAGTTCAACACTGGCTAGCTGTTGAGATTGCCAACCCAGGGAGGAATGAGGTCTCCAGAGGATTTTCAGCCCTGGGGCTGAGAGGCACCTGACCTTCTCACTGACCATCTGTTCCCTCCTCATGCCTGTCTTCTTTTTCCTGAGAATGCCTACAGCTGGTGGGTGCTGGACACCAAGTAGACGGCACATTCACCCGAGGCACATAGAAAAAATGGTGGAACAGGAATTCCCATTGTTATAGAAGCAGCTTTTAAGTTCCTATTTAGTAGCCTCTGCTTGGTCCCTCCATGTAAAAGTGACTTACTGTCTGATCCTTTATAGAAAAAGATTGGTGAGCCCTGGTCTACATGTTGATGTTGGAAGCTCGTACCCTGTGCAGTGTGAGCTCCTAGTCCCAGGATCCTCCACTGTCAGCCACGAAAACAACCGTTATTCAGCTCTTTAGGATCCAACCTAGAGCTCTGACAGGACAGCTCTGTTTACTTCCCAGTCTTAGTGACTGGCTCTTTTTCCCGTCCCTTGACACTGCATTTGAATTACGTTTACTTCTCTGATCCTCGGGCTCTAGGGTTGTTCTCACATTTGATTATGCATCAGATGCCGGGCCAGGATCCTTGGTCCCTGCCCCAGAGTTTCAGGTTCGGTAGGTAGATATCGAGCCCAATAATTTGCATTTCTAACAAACTCTGGAGCTGCTCGTGATGATAGTTTGGAAGGTAGACTCTGGCTCTCCAGTTCTCAGCTTGAATCTTGAGATCTAGGGCATCCCCAGTGGGCACAAGTTCAAGCAACTGCCCACTCCAGTTTCCTGCCTCTAGTCCTCATGTGTTCACATCAGCATTTCTCAAGACTTTAGAGCTCAGAATCTTTTAAACATCACCCAAAGGGCTTTCATTTATTTAGATTGTATCTATTGATATTACCAGGCATACAAAGTTAAAAACTAGCTCCCATTTTAGAGGGGTGTGTGTGTTTTAGAACCAAATGTTAGAGACCTTTGATCCCCTAGAGCTGAAATTATAGGTGGTTGTGAGCTGCCTGGGAGTAGAACTCTGGTCCCCTGGAGGAACGGCATGTGCTCTTAACCATTGATTCATTTCTCCAGCCCTCAAACAGAATATCTTAAAGTGGGATAGATTCATCGATGGGAATTCAAATAAACCCATTCCATAAGAGTCCTAGTTAGGCTTGTCTTGTGATAAAAAAAACATTGACCCAAACAACTTGTGGGAGGAAGTTGCAGTTTACCTGGTATAGTCCGTCACCAAGGAAGATCAGGGCAGGAACTCAAGGCAGGAACCTGGAGATAGGAACTGAAGCAAAGATCATATAGGAATGTTTATTAGCTTGCTTGCTTTCTTATACAACCCAAGACCATTTGTCCAGGGGTGACATTGCCCACAGTGGACTGAGCCCTCCAACATCTGAGAGCAAATTTGATGAAGGCCAATTCCTCAGTTGAGCTTCCTTCCCTGTGTGTCAAGTTGACAAGAATGGTATATTTAGAAACATGTTAAAGTAGTTTCATGAATTAAATTTCTTATAGAATTAAAGAAAGTTAACAGCACAATAAGAAATATTTTCATGAAAAGTAATCACGTTTTCCACAACAACAACAAAAAAATGTGAAGAATGATGTTGGCTTACTCTCTGTTCCCAGAATCCCTTTACCAGCTAACGTAACTGGGGTCAGCTCGATCTTTATAGCAACTTTGGCATTCACTGTAATGTTTTGATGGATGTATATAAAGAAACGGTGATTTCAGGCATTTGTAAAGTTGGACAGGGAAAAGTAATTGTAGCCTTTTTGGATAATCATGGGTTTTCTTCTCTGGATCCACATCAGAACCTCACAAGTGGTGATGTCTCAAAGATGTAGTGCCATGTAGCATCTGAAATGATGTGCATGTTCCTGCTATAGTCCATTAGAACCCAGCGACCTACCTCCAATGGCTCTCTTTACATGTGCTCCATCTTGCAACACCCTGTGCTTGTCATATGGAGAGACTGGTCCATGGGTGGTGGAGATTCCCTCAGGTTGACACATTTCATCGTACAATCACATTTGCTAAGCCGTATACACAGGGGTAAAGGATTCAATAAATGCATTGCAAATTGTACCTGGATTGTAACATGCTCCTGTAAGTGTGGTGCATACAGCAGTTTGCCGATGGCATCTTTTTTTGTGTGTCCAGGCATCAGCAGTTTTCTCTACCATTGTCTTTAAACCACAGGATAAGTGACAACAGAGTAAATGAGCCTGTTGACATTTTAATCCGACAATGAAAACAGTTTTCATTTCCTAAGTCCCCTAAACTAAAAATCAGGGATGCATAAGGGTTTGTAGATTACAGTATGTGCACTGGTGATCCATGGCACAGTATTTTGTGTATGTGTGCATGTGCATGTGCATGAGTGTGTGGGAGGAAAGCTGTTTATGTGGAGGTGTGCATGTGTGTGTAGAGTTCAGAGAACAACTTTGGGTGTTGGTTCTCACAGTCTCCCATCTTTTGTTTGAGATAGGGTCTCTCACTGGCCCGGAACATCACCAAGCAGGTCAGACCGCCTGGCAAGGGAACCTCAGGATTGCCTATTTCTATTTCCCATGCTGGGATCACAACCATGAACCACCACACCCAGCTTTGTGTGGGGGTTCTAGGGATCTGAACTTAGGTCTTCAAGCTTGAGAAAAAAGCCACGTTACTGACAGTGCATCATCTCCCCCAGACACCTCGTGGCATACATGAATAACAATTTTTAGCTGTTTTAGTTGTGTGTTGGTGAGCTGTACTCCTCATGTGGTGTGGCAACAGTTTTTAATTTCCATGGATCCCTTACGCCAGATCCAGTCATCCAGTCCAAACTGTTCATGCAGATTGTCGCTGTCCCCACAGCATCTCTGGATGCTTCTATACTAGAAAGACAAGATGCAGAACTCCACAACCAATTCAGGGTAGCATAAAACTAACAGAACCCTGAAGTAGGAGCAGAAAAGTCACACTGGGAGATGGGTGGAGGGGACACTGTAAAGTGCCAGTCTATTACTTTAGAGATAATTCTGGGTACAGTGGAGGCCATCAGTAGTTTGGGGTTTGCAGAATGGTGGATGCTATCCACAGTTGCTGAGTTAGGCATCCATACAGCAGAAAACACACACACACACACACACACACACACACACACACACACACACACACACACACACAATTTAGATGCAAATCCACAAGACAGGAAAGCAAGTCACTGATGCAGAAACCTAGGGAGCCCTTGCTAGGGGTGAAGGATTGTATGGAATTTCCTAAATGGCCTGTGTCTCGGGCAGATTCTGTCATGGAACTGTCAAAATTATCAGACATGACGAAGCTCCACCAGGCTGTAGCAGCAGGGGACTGCAATTCAGTGAAGAAGATTCTGAAGAAAGGTCTCTGTGACCCAAACTACAAGGACGTGGACTGGAATGACCGGACGCCTCTCCACTGGGCTGCAATCAGAGGTGAGTAAACAATGGCTCCGTAGACTCGTTCCTCCGGGCCCACCTTCACGAGGGCGTCAGTCTGTGTCAGAGTGGGATGGAGATTTCGTTAATGCTCCATGGACCATTTCACCTGGCATTGACCCTTACTAGTGACAGCCCCTGGGCCGTGTTATTTAATGTTTTGGGCACTCATTCTTCTACACAATGGGGGCAGTAATGCTGTACTGGAGTTCTTTGATGGAGAGTTAGAGAACAACGATGAGACTCTAAACGATGCTCTCAATTAGTCCTCGGTCGTCATGACTTCATGAATGGAGCATCATGAAGATGAATCCCCGCCCCCTCCCAGCACATCCCATTTATGCGACCGGAAGTTAGTGAGAAAACTCAGTCAAAGTCTCTGGAAACTGGGGCTGGATAGATGGCTCAGCAGCAGTTAGGAACGCTCACTGCTCATATAAGGACCAAGTTTTTGTCCCAGCACCCACACCCACCTCTAACTCCAACTGCAGGAGAACCAACACCTTCTGCCTGTGGGGCACCTACAGACATGTGCATGCACGCGCGCGCGCACACACACACACACACACACACACACACACACACACACAAATTAAACTTTTTTAAAAGTCTCTAGCAATAAACACCACCAAATGACATTAGGGAAAAGAGTACTAGAGACAACTTTGCTTGTCAATTATTTGTCTTCTCTCTTGTGGGGAGAGGGACTAGGCAGAAAGTAAAACCAGCTGCAAAAACCTTGGTTGGGATATCTCTGCAGAAATCTGTGTAGGGAGCATTAGTAACTGCATCAGATGACCACTCAGGGAACACTTGCTGTGTGCTGGATATTGTGCTGGGTGCTTCGTGTCTGGGAGTTTATTCATACTCCTCACGGATTTGATGAGACCAATGGTGCAGCCCTAATTTGCAAATGAGGGCATTGAGCATTTGTTTCGTACCCAAGGTATTACTTATTGGAGAACGAACGCACATCTGTCCGCTTAGAATGCCTGTGCTCTTAAACTGTGTCAGCTGTATTCTAAGGGTGCTCAGTTTACTGATTGTAATTAGTTTTGCTAGTGTGTGTTTGTACATGATTGTTTGTGTAGGTGTGTGTGTGTGTGTGTGTGTATGCCATGGTGTACAGTGGAAGTCAGAGGACAACTTTCAGGAGTTGGTTCTGTTTTACTTTAAGCTCTGGCTCAGGCTGGATGGTGGTGGCACACACCTTTAATCCCAGCACTCAGGAGGCAGAGGCAGGCAGATCTCTGAGTTCGAGGCCAGCCTGGTCTACAGAGTGAGATCCAGGACAGGCACCAAAACTACACAGAGAAACCCTGTCT